ATGACTGGCCAATTAGCCCGCTAGGTGTCAATCCACATGGCACAATCTCATTCGTTGGCCACACAGACATGACCGACCAATCAACTATCGCCGCAGGCAGGAAAACCAGCGAAGCGGCGGTTAGTAAACCGCGGATGACGATCCTGCAGTCAATATTCTAAGGTGACAATACTTCCAGGCAAAAGCGAGCGCCGTTCGTTCAAATCATTTCAGCAGAAAGACCGGCAAATACAAATCAGTGAGCGGTCTCTGGCGCAGTAGCAAGCATGATGGAGGAATTGTGAGTCAGCTGAATCCTGTGGCTAGGGAGCTCAATGGCACATTTAGTGAAACTTTGGAAATTTGGCGGAAACCTGCTATATTGGAAATGAGAGCCCAATAGCACACGCTTTCCACCTCCCGGTTCTCCAGCATCCGCGACTCGATGACACTGCAGAATGACAGTTAGTAAACCGAAGAAGACCATTCTGTAGTCCTTATTCTGTAGTCAGGATACTTTCAGGCAAAAGCCAAGGTTCCCATCAACTGTGCAATGCTCCTTAAACTGAGAGTCTACTGATAAACACTGATGGCTTGTATTACTTATTTTCCAGCTTAATGCTAGCTGACTGATTTGGAAGTGAGGAACATGTTGCCAGCCTGAAAATGCAGCCTTTTAACTAAATTGCGGACCAACCTTTTAGTAAATGACGGTTTCAAGACTTACCGAGGTTGGCTGTTCTTGCGATTGCGTCAATTCCAGGCATAACCAAGTTAAATTCTTCGATTATTGTTTGCACGCTGAATTTGTATTTGGTGGAGGGACGAAGATCAGAAATGGTAATGGTTGTGGCATTGGTTATGGCTCTGAATTCTTTACCTAGTCTTATGTTGTAAACCGGTGTGCCATTTGTTGGTCCTTTGGGCGGCTTCCATGAGAGTTTCACGGACGTAGGACCCAGAACCTCGACAGTGAGATCCCTCGGATTTAGATCGGCTAAATAAGGTGTGCAAAGGTAAGTAAACAACCAGTGTAAGTTGATTTGATAATCGTTATGTTCACAAAATAGGTTAACGTCTTGATTATTACCGTTTCGCACAATACCGTTTCTTCTCAACGTGCCCGACAATATGTTCTGACAATTAACGTATACCCATTTTCGCTGTCTAACTGTTTTATTTTCGATTCTCAAGCAAGGACCATTGAACGGATTTTTTAGCTCTGTTTTTTCCTGCACGTTCGACATGAGTTAGTTCGTGGTAAAAGGCATGGATCGTTGTTCTATGGCATTCTTTTTGAAGGAAGACGTTGGCTTTTCACCAATTCCTGTACAATTTCTTGTAATTATGCCAAGTAGGAGAGTGTCGCTGCCGTTGCATCGATGAGTGGATTTTGATGATTTAAAAACTTGCCACGACAGACCTACTTCCAATCTTAATTTGGCTCCAGTACAACTGCCGCTCGCTAGCATTTTTTCAATTCTGGTATCAACGTTCATCGCTGAATGTTTCACGCCTCTTAGTACAAACAACGGAGGGGAAGAGTCAGTCCAAATTTCAATTGAATCGGTCTGGCTGGACCCTCTGACCCTGGTTACACTTTTTAAATTTGTTACAGTCTGGCTCACGGACGCTTCCCCCTGGGCACTGAAGATCAGAGCAGCGGGGTGGTCTCCCAACCTCCGGTGGACCGCCGATGTCAGAACGTTTGTCTACGTTTCCAGGCTGTCAACGCCCACGCACTGCCATACCTGGCAGTTTTTTCCCTACACTAAGTAAAGGCCTTCGTCGCTCGTTCACTTTGATCTTACTTATTGCTGATGCCTCCAACGCAATCGTCAGTGTTAATTTTTTGACAAGGTCAATCTTCTTGTGAACCGACAGTGAACTCAATTACTTGAATGCATATCTGCTCGTGGGCTCACTCATTTTGCAAATTCATGCAGCTTACCTCTCATGTGTACGGCGACGACTTACGCTTACCGGCAGCGGTGCATTTAACAGCGCTGTCATTCATGATGGGTACCCTGTGTCTAATTTTCATGACGTCCACTGAGCTGTGCATGGTAAATCGGTTTTCTCGAAGATCGACCTAGCGCGTGTGTTGCGCCAGATACCTTTCGCTCAGAGGCCACTTAAAGCATCGCTGTTAATACTTAATCTAATCTATCTGATTTCATTCCCATGCATTTCGGTCAGACGTTCCAGGGGTTTATCAGCCATGCCTTAAGCAGTCTACCCTTAGTGTGCGCCTATATTTGATACCTAAGCGACTATTTGTAATGCTGAAAAACTCAGGAAGTTTCTCGTCTAGCTAATCGATATTCTGGGCAAGTAGGGTGTCAGGACCGGTGCATTCCTGTGCAGATTTGGTGTGCATTCCCTCGAATTCAGTGGACATGATATCGCCTTCGAGGTTAGTTTACCTCTACCTGCCAAGGTTACAGCCCTTTATTATTCTTTCCCGCTAACATCCAAGCATCATTCACAGCGGTTCCTAGGCATGGTTAACATTTATCGGCGGTTACCGCAGAAATACAGTAGGTGAGCTAACTCATGAAATGTCAACCAAAATTCCGAAATGCGTTTTCGTTTCGAAAAGATTAATTAATTATGGTTGTAAAACTAGTCAGCCTGCAACATAATTTTATAATATTTCAGTTACCTCAGGATGCCGGCTTTTGAATGAACTTCCTTCCGGCTGCATGCAAAAACTACACTGTAAAAAATATCTGCATACGTAGCATGAATTTTTCCCATCGATTTTCGCTGCCCATAAAAGTCCAATTATATTCGATGGAAAACATACATAAAAATATTCATTCATTCGTTCATTCGGCAGAAAATTTCGTCTTCTTCCAAACTTATACTCGAAGGAGGGACATAATTCGGTTTTAAAAAAGCTTTATAATTACCGAATAATTTTAACCCGCCCTACCGTCACACTTGGGTTCAGGGTTTCAAAACTACAAGCCGCATATTTTCCACGTACGGAAAACCACATATTTCTCTACGGTTATAAAGGGGGGCCATATGGCCTTCATGAAATTAAGCAGTGGATTTTATCCATATTGTTAACTTTACAAGCCACACTGGTCTATGCAGAGACATGACGATGTATGAACGGCCATTTCACGGTATATAAGAGTCCCGAAATTAGAAACTTTTTAAAACCGAATCATGTCCTTCCATTGAGTATAAAGTTGGAAGACGACGTAATTTTTTACCGAATGAGCAGAAGGATGGATATTTTTATACATATTTTCCAAGAAATGCCTGCTACATAAGTAGTCATTTTTTACAGAGTGCAATTTTTGCATGCAGCCGGAAATCAGTGAACAAAACGCATGTTACATAAGTATTTTTTTACAGAGTGTGGTTTTTGGATGCAGCCAGAAAAACGCTTGTTCGAAAGCCACCGTCCTGGGGTAACTGAATTATCATAGAATTATGCTGCATAATGCTTAGTTTTACAACCCTACTTAATTAATCTTTTCAAAACGAAGACGCATTTCGGAATTTCGGCTGAAATTTCATGAGTTAGCCCACCTGCTGTATGTTGACTTCATGCTTCCGGACACAAGCATGCATTTCTCTCTTAAGTGTTTCCTCGACCTAACTGGTGACGCATACCGTGCCAAAGCATCCTGCTCCTTAGGCGCCTCTGTTGTCAGTAAAAGACGCCTTCGCAGTATGGCTTTTTCCTCAAAAAAACGTCCGTCGACCGAAACATTATGGGACATCTTACGTTGCTAACTACTCGTCATCTGCATGAGCTAAAGCATTTCCATCAGTTTATCTTAGCTCCCAGCTGTACTATTTTAACAGACCACGAGCTATTGACTTTCGACCACCGTTTCCGCACTGACCAGTAAAGTTTGAGGAAAAATATTAAACAGAACTACACTGCACGATTCACTTTCGACGTCTGCCTCATCGATGGCATGAAGAAAGAGACGGTTGACTGGCACGATCCTTTGGGGCGTTTTAACTCCTGTTTATCGCGCCACCAGGCGGCTTGCCCAGCCCGACGTAGGGTTCAGTTATGTTCCTCCAGACGTAATAGGCCCTTAGCCTCGATGGGATAATCTGACTCTTAGGCGAGAGGCTCATACAAATACGTGGCCTGCCGAGAAGGACTCTGACAACTCTGTTCACCATCTAAGTCAATTTATGCGATTGTTTCCCCGTTCTATCGCGAAGACAAGTAGTCGAGTTGTGTGCTCAAAAAAGTCCATGAAAGTGCACTTATGTGTTCGATCGGTGTGGCCGAGTTGCTGCAAACTATAATTTAATATAAATAAAAGGGATATTAATGCAACTTTACTTTCACCAATTATAAAATTCTTAAATTTTACTAAAAATATTTAACTTAGACAACGTGCTCTGACGGCCATTTATTTAAATGAGTTTCAAATGATTAAGAATTTTCTAAAAGAAACTAAGGAGAGTTAAGTATGCAAAATCTCCGTACGTCTTAAAGTGCTCTCATAAAAAGCTGGTTGTCACATGTCTAGCCTAAATACCGCGTCGAAAACTTTTCGAATTTTGCAGATTGTTGCGCAAAAATAGCAGCATATCGAAGACATGCAGTCGGTTTGCTGCTAGCCAATATCTTTGGCGGTATTATGCGGTGTTGTCCGCTAAACCTAGCACGGAAATGAAACAAATGAATGTCGCCCTTTTTGAACAATGCATCTATGTAACATTCTGCTGTATTTTTATAAATCAGTTTGTCAAGACCTCTAGAAAGCGTATATATTTTAGTGGCATTTATCCATTTTTATAGATGTTATTAAATTAGCATATAACTAAAAGGTGCAAACCGACTAAATGCCCTACAGACGCTATTATTTGTTTCAAAAGAAGCGCAGCAAGTTGGTTATTTTCCAGAGGAACATTTAGGCACATATATTCGTCCGGAAAACCGTAATCTCATATTGTATCTTCTGATTTGCAATAATAGTGGAATGGCCTTCGTTTTGAATCTAGGCCGTTTGTATTCAGGGAATTTTACAGTCTTTATGAAAAAAAACGCCGTGGAAAACGTGCCCTAAATAAAACATTAACTTAAAATAAAAATAAATTGGCTGATTATTTTTCATGAACCTACACGATCTCCGAAACCATGCAGACACTGTAAGGGCGAAGAGAAGGGTACTGACAAGATGTGATGCCATCGTCGGGAAGAGAAATTGTGTCTTATGCATCAAATAAGCAGATGTCTGGCTGTTAGATTTGACCTTTGGATACGTTTTTATATATAGGGAGTGAAAAACAGAATTAAATCACACCGAGGAATAGGATAGTTTATCAAACGGTTGTGTTTACGTAGGGCTGCGTGATTTGCTTTGATGAGCCTGTGCCTTTGTGCATAGAATAGCGACAGCAAGTAGAACAATACACTTGGATTGCCCAGTATTGAAAACAGCAACTCTCTCCCCCCCCCCCCATCTCCTTGACTCAGTGATCATAACACCTCGTCCCCGTCATTTGGGTGGCGTGGGAACGATGGGTGCTTATGGTCCCTGAGTTAATTATAAGCCCTGCGAACTCCTTGTATTTTCAATTTCATTGTATCTTTACTGGCCTATAATGAGTTACCGGAAACTCGTGTTTGTCAAATTGACTTCTCAAATTTGCCAATAGAAGCGAAGAGCCGAGTCCCAGGAAATAGTCTTGAAGAAGGAGACACGATCGTCGGGACAAGACCTTTATTAGCCTGACGTTTCGGATTCCTACTCGAATCCATCATCAGAGACAAAAGAGCAGAAACTAGTGGTTGTTGCACAAGGTGCTGCGGTATTTATAGGATGCAGCAGCCATGCTACCGCATACCTATGAACGTTCACGGTTTCCCCGTTCATCCAGGATTGTCACACTTGGTGTGATCATTGCTTGATGGCCGACATTCGAGTCGATAATTGCTGCAATTTCATCACGTGCGTTGGATTTGGCGTGATGATTGCTCGACCATCTGACACGTTGACCCGGGGGTTGGGAAGAACGTTCACCAGTGCGCTCCCCGCGTGGCCAAATTACTCGGTTGTCAACCGAGTGAACCGGGAGCTACTGGAATCATGGTTTACTGGCCCCCATTCCATCAACAAGTGCAACGATCTTCCCATTCAATACAGCGTGCTGAGACTTCGTCTAGGCGGAGTAATTGGCCACGCGGGGAGCGCACTGGTGAACACTCTTCCCAACACCCGGGTCAACGTGTCAGATGGTCGAGCAATCATCACGCCAACATCCAACGCAAGTGATGAAATTGCAGCAATTATCGACTCGAATGTCGGCCATCAAGCAATGATCACACCAAGTGTGACAATCCTGGATGAACGGGGAAACCGTGAACGTTCATAGGTATGCGGTAGCATGGCTGCTGCATCCTATAAATACCGCAGCCCCTTGTGCAACAACCACCCGTTTCTGCTCTTTTGTCTCTGATGATGGATTCGAGTAGGAATCCGAAACGTCAGGCTAATAAAGCTCTTGTCCCGGCGATCGTGTCTCCTTCTCAAATTTGGTTAGCTTGGACAGAGTTGGTTACACGCACAGTACGTCGACCAAACGCCCCTTACCATAATTTTACTGGTTTCTTCTTTTTCGTAGTTAAATACTAGTACCTAGCAGCCGGATTTTAATACCGAGATTTGAAGCCTTTAAGGCCTGACGTTAGAGGTGCACGTTTTTCTAAGTACATGCAGTTAATTTTGAAATCTGTCTGGGTCCTACATACGTAGAGGCGCACGTTTAAGATGGTGGACCACCCGGTTGACGCTGCAATGACGTTGAGATGAAAGGCAAAGTGTCCCTAAAGCAAAGCAATAAATGGTTCCGATGAATAAAACAGTGTATTTTGCCTCTGGAAAAGTGGATATCGAGTTGAATAATTGAGGCGGAAAATAAGTAAACAAACCTAGTTCTAGATAAGGTGATATCGACAAAGACAAGGGAGACCGGAATGGCCATTTCTGGCTTATTAGCCGTCATCAGCCAGTCATGCCCAACCCCAAGTGTGGATCACTTGGGATTCGAACCCGGGATCTTTGGTCATGGAGTTTGACGCTCTACCAAGTGATCCACACTTGGGGTTGGGTATGACTGGCTGATGACGGCTAACAAGCCAGAATTAACCATTCCGGTCTCCCTTGTCTTTGTCGGTATCACCTTATCTACCTATATCACTAGTCGCTGAGCGACTGCCTGCGAGGGTTTAAGTATGAGCCCCAAGGCACAACAGAAGGAGCATGTTCTGTAACCTGATCGGTGAGCGGCCATCTGTCATAAACCTAGTTTTTTTGGATGACATGTCATTAAATTACGCGCCTGGACGTGCGGCATATTCGCGCAGTTTCCGAGGATTTCACTTCACTCCCGCTGCCAATCGAAGCCTCTCAAGCATTACATTTATCCACTGGCGAAATCATCAAATATTCCTAGCGGCTGGTTGCACTGTCAACAACGCTTGTGCTGACAGACAACTAAAATAGTAACTCCTTCCCGATATGTCTTAAACTCCTCAAGGAGAATGAATATCACTTATTTTTATAACGCTTCACAGACATTTTGTCTTCCAGTTGCAACTGAATGCAAAGTATTGAAATTATCCGTTATTATCACTGTTGCTTTAATTAAGCAGTCAGTTCATTTTCAAGGTGTAGCATGCTTAAATTTCTTTTTTCTAACTAGACAAAATCTAGTGAAGAAGATACAAAACATTTTACAATTTGAAGTTAGCTTTGTCGAAGTGGCTTGGAGGATTTGAATATTGTCTGCAAAACTGTGCATATCAGAAATTCACTGACTGGACATCACAAATGCGTCCCAGTATGCAAACATGCAGTAGAGTGTGTCTGTTAAAGCCGAGAACGAGCGTTTTTGCACGGCCGTCTCCTGTCAAACTCCTCAAGCCGATCATCTATGGCATTATGGTATTAGGGGTTTCAACTCGTTTTCAGATATTTAACATGCCAATATATAGTCCAGGGATTGGCGGCTAGAGTAAGACGCATCTGCTCACCTAAAGCTATTGAAGAAGAACTTCAACAGCTACGGAGCACACCTCGGGAGAACGGATATCCAGATAGGTTTATCCTCCGAAATATTGGGAAACGCGTCGAAAAGCCCACTGTTGCGACTGCGGAATAGAAAGATTTATTCATAAGATTGCCTTTTGCAGGAGACGCAGAGAGCGAATTAGTCCGACGGCGCTTAACTACAGCTGTCACGAGAGCATTCCCCGCGGCGAATTTACGCGTATCTTTCACAAACTCTCCCCTCCTACGTTTGGGAGGTAAAGACAGACTACCGTTGGAGGCCACATCAATGTGCATTTATTCATTCATTTGCTCCTGTGGAGCAGGATACATCGGCCGCACAACGAGACGCCTGGTAAAGAGGGTGCGTGAACATATGTCGCCTGGCTAGACAGAGGTGAGACCCGGTCGATTTCGAGTTCTATTCTCGCACATTTAATCGATACGAACCACCGAGTCGATGCCAAGAAAGCATTCCAGGTTGTCTACCGGACACCAGCATGCTTCTCCAAAGGCCTACGCCAACGGATACTAGCAACGGCCGAGGCAGTAGCTATACGGTTAGCAATCCGGTGTTATGCTGTCAGAAAACTCTGACACAAGCGCTTTCTCTGCCGTGGCCAACGCCAACCCCAAGTGATGAAGCCATGCCGCCTTAAATCCCTAATCACGATGATGGGTACTCCGTGTACTCAATCCAAGAACCTCACTCAAAGATTCTCTTTCCCCCCTCCCCTAGCTCTGACGACTAACACCCGCTGACATTGTCATGCGAGCAACGTGGGGATGATGAGTGTTAATGACTCAATAGCCCTTGAGAAATCTATAAACTGTTGATTTTGTACATTTTCAGTTCATCATGTAATTGTATTGGCCTGACGAAGAATTACCGAAAACGCGTAATCGCCAACTTGACTTTTCAAATATAGATTTTTGCCGAAGTATAATCGGTCGAGATAATTTAAAATAACGCGTACTTTTGAAGTTGAATTTTAAAAAAATACTTCAGATTATGTAAATACGCATCGCGGTTATTCAAACTTATATGATTTCTAAAAACATATGAGGATTAAAATAAAGGTGTTAAAAGATCGCGATTGAAACTCGCTTCAAATAAAGTACTTTTCTGTCACTTATAGGTCATTTGGAAATAAATAAATGGCAGGTTAATTACATACTGCCATAATTCAGTAAACCAATTAATGACGGCAAATAATATTAGTCTACTCAAATATGTCGTTTGTCCACATCCCCCCAGCGAATTACATTACGTCGCGCCTTTCACAATATGAAGAAAGCACTGTTTATGAAGGATGGCTAACAGACTTGCTAGACAGTAAATAAGACGCAGTCACATCAGGTGCTCTTCGATAAAACCCCTCAGAGGCCGCTCGGAAATTGTAAAACCTGAGACAAATTAGTTCGCGCAACCGTTTCCCACAATACTGCAAACAAATTACCTGCTGCCAGGATTTGCCCAACCGACTACTGATTGAAAAGAATATTGACGTATTCAAACTAAAACGGGTCATTTGTCCATATTTCCGTCAGCAAATTACATGAAGTTACGCCTTTTAACGTGTGACGAAGTGTTGTATATTGCGGAAGGCAAACTGACGGATTGATGTAGCAGACGTATGGGGCAGTAAATAAGACACAGTTGCATCAGTTGCTCTCCTTCATCGCCAGCCATCAAGATATTTCTCCGAGTCAGTCAGAAGTAATGCAGAGGTCGAATCAACAGCTTGCCAAAATTGCGGGGTCAAAGCTAACGGTAAAACGCAAGATGAGTCCAGGAGTGTGGGAGGTGTATCATTCGATGTGAACCAAATGTCGCGAATTAGTGAGTAAAGTATGCGGCAGTCCTAAATGAGCTTTGAAAACGTAGAATTGCACTCTAAAGTCGATTTGGTATACTGTAGACCCATAAGTAGGGCTGGACAGGATGGTTGTACGAGACTGGCATTATCCGGAGCACAGGCCTAAAAATTAAAAAAACGTTTCGTCGGTTGAAAAGCGTCTCAGAAGGAAATGCTCGAAATTGCAAGAATGAAGATAATATCACGATAATACTCCATCACACATTAAACATTGACATTGGCATATCAGTCTCCTATATCGCTAGTCCTTGAGCGCTA